TAGGGGAATGTTTAGAAAGTAATATGGTCAGAATGCAGTTAAGATTAGTATCTGACTGGGTGGTGGTGGTGGTGCATGCCTTTAATCCCAGTACCTGGGAGGCACAGTCAGGTGGATCTCTGTGAGTTTGAGGCCGACTTGGTCTACAAGAGGTATGTCCAGGACAGCCTTGATAGCTATAAATAAACCCTGTCTTAGGGGTAAGGGAAGATTTGGATTCACACGATTCATATGTGCCTTCTGTAATTTCTCTTCAATCAAGCTCAGTCTCAGTTTCAGCTGATATTTCCTGGCACTATTTAAGTCCTTGTCACCATCTAACTTTTTGTTTATATTAATCAGGTCATCCCAGTAGTGTGCTGTAGATGGGAAATATCTACTAGCAATCTTTGGAAGTCATTAAAAATCTGCAATCAATCTCTCTTAATTTGCATCTTTTGGGGGTCTAATGTTTTGTAAACCTATTTTATAGCCTAAATAATTAATAGACTCTCCTCTTAAGATTTTTTCAGGAGCAATTTGTAATCTCCAACAAGGCAAAAATTTCTTTACTTCTTCAAACATTCCTTCTAAAGTATCTACATTTGAATCAGATAGTAAAATGCCATCCATTTGATGGTAAACTATAGCTTCAGGTAATTGCTTACATATTTTCAATTGCTGACTTACAAACTATTGGCACAGGGTGGGGCTATTTAACATTCCCTATGAGAGAACATTCCATTGCTATTTCTTAGCAGGATGAGAAGTTTTATAAGTAGATAATATGCAGGCAAAGTTTTCTTTGTCCTTTTCTTATATTGGTATAGTGAAAAAACCAGACTTTTAAATCAATAACTATAAGAAGCCATTAGGTAATAGGGCAGGCAAAGGAATTCCAGACAGTAGAGGGCCCATTGACTGAATCACCTTACTAATAGGTCTTACATCTGTTACCATTCTCCATTTGTCAGACTTATTTATAACAACAAATACAGGAGAATTCCAATGGCTGGTTTATTCTTCAATATGTTGGGCATTTAGTTGCTCCTGTATCAGCTGTTCTAAAGCCTGCAGTTTCTCTATTGTTAAAGGTCATTGCTTAACTCACATACTGTTGTCTGTCAACTTTTCTAAAGCTAGAGCTATTGGTGCTGTTGAAATATCAGTACCTGTTGTGCCTGTTCTTATACAGCCTAAATGGTTGTAACTGTTCTTTGTGATATCTTTGTAATACTTTTCTCAGCAACATACATTATTTTATGGTTTGTTTCTAAGTTTGAGAAATGTTAATCTGAGTTTTCCATTGCTGTAACAAATAATGCCTGCACAAATTCATTTCTATGTTAGCCACATATGATTTTAATATTCCTCTCTGTCCTCTAACCCCACACATTTGACCTGTATCATGCTCTGCTTTACCTGAGATAAAGTTCCAATCCCTGAAAACTGAACATTTACATCCCGAAGAGGCCAATTTGGATGCTAAGATTTGGATGAATTTATTGATACATCTACACCTGTGTCTACTAGAACTTCAGTAACAACAGCATTATTCATATTTTTAATTTTGCTCTTGTTCATTTATAGAAGTCTGCCAAAGGGGGCTGGAGAGGTGGCTTAGTGGTTAAGAGCATTACCTACTCTTCCAAAGGTCCTGAGTTCAATTCCCAGCAACCACATAGTGGCTCACAACCATCTGTAATGAGATCTGGTGATCTCTTCAGGCTTGCAGACATACACGCAGACAAAAATACTCTCTCTATATAAATAAATATTTAAAAAAAGAAGTCTGCCAAAATACTCACATTATGATTTGTCCTGTATATTTTGTTCTCTCTTCCATAGCTGTTCTATTATCCAGAGCAGTATGGTTCCTTACAATCTGCACACGTTTTTAATTACTCTGGCAAGGAGTTTCTTGTATGATTGCAGGAAATGATTGAACCAGGTTTGGCATAGGGGCCTGTGGGAGACCCCTCACAGGGTTTCCTGACAACAGAGGATTACCTTGAAAACTCCTTGTTGACCTACATTCATTAGTCTAATGCGTGCCTTTGCTACACCTTCCACATAATCCATAAGGGAAGGGCATTATGAATGGATTATTCTTAGAAAAAAAATCTTGGTTCTCGGAATGCCCTGTCTACAATCCCTTTTAAGATAACCCCATTTGTCACAATTATAACATTTGACATTTCAATTTTTCCTCAGTCCTCTGGAAATCACCTCTCCTATCCATGCATCATCATGGTCCTGCGATTCAATATTAATAGTATCTCAAATCCATTCCTCCAGAGGCCATGACCTTGCCTTTAACAGCCTGATTATACTTTTGTGTTGAGAATTGGCATTTCCAAAAGTCAGAGATTCAATTGTTATTCATCTAGCTTCTGAATTTGGTATCATTGTATTTACTGCTGAAGTCAATCTTTGTAAGAAATCCATAAAGGCTTCCTTTGGGACCTGTATAACTTTAGAAATGACTCCATTTCCTTTCCTATTTCTCCAATTATGTCCCAAGCATTCAAAGCTGCTGCATGACATGAATTCAGGGAGTTCATATGCAGATTGCCTTTCTGTAGTAGAATAATCTCCTTCCCCAAGAATTTGATCTTGGGAGATTTCCCTACCTCTAGCTTTACTCCATTGTTCAAGAATTTTAGTCTCTTCCCTGAACCAAGTACTCCACTGTAATTGTGGACTAGGCTCTAAAACACCATTAACCAATTCTGTCCCATCTTTAATGTTAGTTCTGTTGCAAGCTAACCACAAGTCTAACATTTGCTTCACAAAAGGTGAACGTATGGCATATGAGACTATTGCTTCCTTGAATCTCCTGAAATCTAACATTGGCACAGGAGTCCATGTTACTCTAACAGAGCCTTTGCCGTTTGACAATTTCTGTTAGGCTACTGGTTATATTTAGGTTGCTTGTATGAAAACCTTAGGCAGTCCCTCTCTATACTTATAATGCAACAATGAAATTGGTTCTCCATTAAATTCCTTTATCTGGATTTAAATATCTCTGTGATTTGTTTCATTAGGCTTTTTTAAGTCTGTATCTTAGCACACAGATTAACCAACTTTTTTGTGATTAGACAAAAATGATACAGTTGATAATGTTTACAATTGATATTACATAAATCTCTAAATTAAATACCTTCTCATTTAATTTTTCCATGTTTAAACTATATACCATATTATTATACAGACACCCAAATCCTCCCATTGTAATTGTTTTTCTCATTTTTAATGTTGGAGAAAAGTTCTTTCTTTCAAATCATTCTTCCCTTTAAGAATTCCCAATTTGTTGTAGGGAGCTGATTGTTCATTCCTGGCTGCCCAGCCCTGAAATAATCTCACAGAAAGCATATTATTTGCAATAATGTTTGGTCAAGCATTTCTCTAGCTAACACATATCTTAAATTAACCCATCTCCATTGATCTAGGTATTGCCACAAGTCTGTGGCTTACCAGGTAAAGTTCCAGTGTCTGCTCCCAGTGGGGCTACATGGCTTCTGCCTGACTCCGCCTTCTTTCTTCTAGCATTAAGTTTAGTTTTTTCCCACCTAGCTAAGTTCTGCCTTGCTACAGGCCAAGGCAGTTTTCTTTATTCATTAACTAATAAAAGCAACACATAGCTAGAAGGACCTCCAACACCACCAGTTTGTCTTATCAAATCTACTGAGAATGTTGATGAAGATGTGAAAATTATTGCTGTTGCATAGAACAGTAAAAGCCTAACTGGCTTTCAAGGCAGCCACCTAGTTTGAAAGCAGCCCAAGAAGGGGGTTGAGGAAGAGCCCACAATATACACTGGAGAGATAGATAGATAGATAGATAGATAGATAGATAGATAGATAGATAGATAGATAGATGGATGGATGGATGGATGGATGGATGGATGGATGGATGGATGGATGGATAGATAGATAGATAGAGAGATAGATAGATAGATAGATAGATAGATGGATGGATGGATGGATGGATGGATGGATGGATGGATGGATGGATGGATAGATAGATAGATAGATAGATAGATAGATAGATAGATAGATAGATAGATAGACAGACAGACAGACAGATAGATAGATCTGACTGTCTGAAAAATACACAGGGGATTGTTCAGAAAAAGCTCATGTGGTGGGGGGACTGCCTGAACCAGCCCAGGGCCCGTGAGTCCTGTTGTGTTTGGAGCCCAGGTGCTTCTGGAGTTTCGGGGACAGCTGAAGACTGTTTAAGAGAGGCTACAACAGGAAAATCACAAACTTGCTTAAAGACCTGTGGAGAAAAGAAAAGAAAGCCTACACTGGTGTGGCTAGAGGTCTACATGGAGCTACAGCCTGTGCCAGTGGAAAAAAAGCTTCAGGCAATGGCTTTCTTGCGAATTTGTACCCCAAACTTTGTACAAAAAATGTAGCAAGAATAATAAAAACCAGAGACAGATATTAGGGTTCAGCCTGAAGATCAGAAAAGCAAAGCTTCCAAGCCACTAGAGAGATCTATGGAATCTCCAGACTGAAAGAGAGCATGTTCCTGTCTCATCCCACTTTATATTCCTCTCTAGAGCTGGGATTAAAGTTGTGCACCACCAGCACCACCCAGCCTCATGGCTCCCTAGTGTGGTTGCTGGGATTAAAGGTGTGTGCCACCACCTCCTGGCCTGTATGGCTGCTGACTAGTGTGGCTGTTTTGCATTCTGGTCTTCAGGCAAGCTTTATATATTAAAATACAAACACAATATCATTACAGGTGTCCATGGCCTGATGATGCAGACCTGCCAATCTTAGGTGTCTGGGTCATCTGTCTGTCTGCACAATGCTTTCTGAGAGCGGGGTTCTAAGTGGTGTGGAAGGCTCAGTCCCTGTGTTCACCATTTGTGATGTCAGGACACTGCAGCCAGTTGTGCTGTGCACTTCCTGGGAGCAGTGTCCCTCCTCCAAGCAGTGGCGGGGATGGCAAGTGGGTGTCAGGAGCTGATTCTCTCATGCTCACCACCACACTTCTTCTCTGTACAGACTCCAGTGGTCCCATCACCACTGCTCACTGAATCCAACCTCTGGATTGGGTATCCAAAAGATTGGCCTGAACCCATGAAGTTCTCCAGGCAACCAGCAGTCTACAACCCAATCGAATGGAGGGTAAAGTTGGTTTTAACAAGGTTTTAAGCTTAGCTGAAAAGTACGTAATGTTGTGTTTTTAAAATAATTTAAAATTATTATTATTATTTTAATACAGAAAGACATGGAATCCCGGTCAGTTCCTCTGGAGAAAAACATACATCCCTTGGTAGTCATTTCAGGAAATGAGGCAAACATAAAGACACTCAAGCAGCCAGCCAGGTACAGTCTAAGTAAAATGTCTAAGTAAAAACATTTTATTGGTGATCAGAAGCGGGGAGAGCCATGTGCACTGGACACATTAGATTTATAGGAGAAATTTAGCACACAGTGATGAGAATACAGTGCGAATTTTCAAAAAAAAGCTAAATCAACAGTAAAGTAATTCTCAGATTAATTTCCTGTTTTGTAAAGAGTTTGCATTTTTGTGTTCAATTCCATGTTGGCCTAAGTTTTCGTGTTTTATTTTGCCTCCCAGTTTCTAATGCACATTTTCCTATAAATGAAAAACAAATTTTACATTACATTCATATTGAGTCATTAAATACAAATTGGTGCTGATTATACATTTTGTTTTGGTTTATTGAGACAGGCTTTCTCTGTGTAACAGTCCTGGCTGTACTGGAACTAACTCTTGTAGACCAGACTGGAATCAAACTCACAGAGATCCACCTGCCCCTGCCTCCCAAGTGCTAGGATTACAGGAGTGCACCACCACCACACTGCTGAGTGTACTTTGTCGTTGCACAACCCTGCTGTGAGCTGCTGTCTTTGAAGACAATTCCTGTTACTTTATCTCTGACCATTAATCATGACTGCCACACTGCAGTCAGTATTTTTCTTCTTTTCCTCTGTAGTGAATTGTGAAGGTTTCCATTTTATTGGCTTGGAAATTATGGATAAAATCGCTTTCTGTAAATATATTTTCCTTAGTGAAGATCAATCACCTGGGTGATGAGGAAAGTCAGGTTTAAAGTCACGTGACACTTGGGTTGATCCCCAGCCTTCGAACGTGCTGTAATGTGAAGGGGAATATGACTATTATTATTTAATATAAGTTTACATTTTGTTCAGTATCTACCCCACTCTCATTTTCATTATTAATTGGTTTTACTATGACTAATATTATAATTGTTCTAATTAAAATTATTATTTTCTGAAAATATTTTTACATGTTTAATTTGGACCTGAATAATATTTTGAAATCACAATGGGAGAGAAATAACCATACAGGAGAGCCCTGCTATTTGGGGTGCAGTCTGATGACAATCTTGACATGTTTAAAACTCTGCCTGGTGTGGAAAATGTAAATTAAATGTACTGTCTTCCCAATCAAGTGAGAAAATGGGAGCTCCTGTAAAGAGATTTACATATTTAAAACAATGCCATCTTGTGTTTTTCTATGCTCAAGGTCTCTTCCTGCTCTGAGTTGCTCTGTCCTCATCTACTGCAGAGCTTTATTAGTTTACACTTCCACATCACTGTTCACCAAGGAAGGAAGTCAGAGCAGGAACTCAAATGGGGCAGCAGCCTGGAGGCAGGAGCTGGTGCACAGGCCATGGAAGGATGCTGCTTACTGGCTTGATCCTCATGGCTTGCTCAGCCTGCTTTCTTATAGAACCCAGGAACACCAGCCCTGGGGTGATGGCTCTACCAAGGATGGGCTGAGTCTCTATCAATCACCAATTAAGGAAATACCGTACAGGCCTGTGTACAGCCCGATCTCACAGAGGTATCTTCTCATTTGAGCTCCCTCCTCTTTGATGACCCTACCTTGTGTGAAGATGACGTGTAATACCCAGCACAGGTTTCCAACACTTTAGTCTTAGGAATGTCCTATGTTGTTTAGGGTTAAGCAATAGGGTCTTTTAAATACATTGTTTCTATAAATAGAGCCAAAGTTGCCATCTCTAATTGTGTAGTTTAATGTTTAATCAGTGACAGACAATGAAGATGAGACCATGTCTCTCTCCACCTTGTTTCCTATTATGTTAGTCTCTCTCACTTCATGTAGTAAAAAGCATGTGAACCAGTAACTGGTTTTTTAGTCAGCTTTGGAGAGAGGAAATTTGCCCACTCAGTGTCTAATCATTCTTATCCACTGGGAAGTCTTTGGTTGTCTGTCACTCTTTGATGAGGAAGTGGAGGAAGAGGAGGACACTAAAGTCTTTACTTTTTTTTAAAACAAATATTAACTTTTAAGTATACAAGTAAAAATACATTTAGTATATCCAGTTGATCATGCTCCAGGATTTTTCAAAGACCCAAACTCATGTCTTATTGTATGTTTTCACTCTGAAGGGTTTTCGAGGAACCTTTTGCCAATGAATCTGATCCTACAGAAGAGGAGGATGCTAAGGTAAAATGCTGCTTTATTAGATTAATTTTTTTGTCCTAACTTCAGCTTTTTCAGTATTTATACTAACTTATGCAGTACCTTTTCTATTACCATTTTTATGTGGCGAGCTCATCAGAGAAAACCTTTTTATACAATTTTTGTGTCGTTGATTTGTTTTGAGCCAGGGTGTTTCTGTATGAGCAGTTCCCAACCTGTGGGCCACAACCCCTTTGTGGTTGAACAACGCCTTCACAGGGCCGCATATCAAATCGCCTGCATATCAGATACTTACATTACAATTCAAAATCAGTAGCAAAATCGCAGTTATACAGTAGCAACCAAAATGATTTTATGGTTGGGGTCAGCACATGAGGCACTTTATTAAAGAGTTGCATTAGGAAGATTAGAACCACGGCTCTATGTAGTCCTTGATGTCTGAGAGCTCACTATAAAGACTAGGCTGGCCTCAAGCTCACAGAAATCCTCTTGCCTCTGCTTTCCCAATGCTGGTGTTAAAAGTGTTACACCTGTCTTGTAGTGATTTTTTTTTGTTTTTATTGAACTATATTTTTTCTCTGCTCCCTTCCTTTCCTCCCCACTCCCTGTCTACGGTCCCCATGCTCCCAATTTACTCAGGAGATCTTGTCTTTTTCTACTTCCCATGTTGATTGGATCCATGTATGTCTTGTTTAGGGTCCTCTTTGTTGTCTAGGTTCTCTAGGATTGTGAAATGTGGACTGATTTTCTTTGCTTTATGTACATATTATATTTTTCTTTTTGGGTCTGGGTTACCTCACTCAATATGAAGTTTTCTATATCCATTCGTTTTCCCACAAATTTCAAGATGTCATCATTTCTTTTCTGGTTTATAATACTCCATTGTATAAATGTCCCACATTTTCCTTATCCATTCTCAGTCAAGGGGCATTTAGATTGTTTCCAGGTTCTGGTTATGACAAATAATGCTGCTATGAGCATACTTGAGCACATACAGAAGTGTTCCCTTTACCCCACAACCTCTCCATCATAAGCTTCTTCAGTGTTTTTGATCTTGGCCATTCTTACAGATGTAAGATGGAATCTAAGGGTTGTTATAATTATCATTTCTCTGATGGTTAAGGATGTTGGGAATTTCCTTGAGTGTTTTTCAGCCATTTTAGATTCATCTGTTGAGAGCTCTCTATTTAGGTCTCTACCCTATTTTTTTATTGGATTATTTGTTCTTTTGATGACCAATTTCTTGACTTCTTTGTGTATTGTCGAGATCAACCCTTTGTCCAATGTGGGTTGGTGAATATCTTTTACTATTCTGTAACTGCCATTTTGTCTTGTTGGCTGTGTTCTTTGCTTTACAGAAGCTTCTCATTTTCAGGAAATCCCATTTATTAATTCTTTCTCAGTGTCTCTGCTACTGGGATTTATTTAGGAAGTGGTCTCTTTTGCCAATTCATTCAAGTATACTTCCCACTTTCTCTTCTATGAAGTTTAATGTTGTTGGTTGTATGTTGAGGTCTTTGCTCCATTTGGACTTGAGTTTTATGCATGGCGATAGATATGGATCTATTTGAATTTTTCCACGTGCTGATAGAATGTTATGCCAGCACCATTTGTTGAATATGTTTTTCCCCTTTTTATATTTTTTGCTTCTTTGTCAAAGATCAGATGTTCATAAGAGTGCGGATTGAAATTCAGGTCTTCGATTTGGTTCCATTGGTCTACATGTCTCTTTTTATGCCAAAACCAGGCTGTTTTCACTACTGTAGCTCTCTAGTAGAGTTTGAAGGTAGGGATTGTGATGCTCCTAGAAGTTCCTTTTTTTTTTTACAGAATTGTTTTGACTATCCTTGTTTTTGTTTTTTCATGAAGTCGAGTACCGTTGTTTTGAGGTCTGTGAAGAATTTTTCTGGGATTTTGATCAGCATTGCATTGAATCTGTAGATTGCTTTTGGTAAGACTACCATTTTTACTATGTTAATTCTACATACCCAAGAGCACAGGAGATCTTTTTATTTTCTTGTGTCTTAGTCAATTTCTTTCTTATTATTCTGTGTATCACCATGAGGCTGTGTACTACTGGTAAGGTTCTAGCATCTTTCTCCTTTGGCAGCTACATGGCATCTCCTTGACTCCATCTATTCTCTTTCTATATCTCTATTCAGATTTCCTGTCTGACTTTACTCTGCAAAGCTATTAGCCAAAAAAGCTTCTTTATTAACCAATGGTAATAAAACATACAGAGGGGAATCCCACATCAGGTTAGTCTGTTATTGGCATGTGGAAAGCTACTGAGTTTGAAATGTTGATTTTGTATCCTGATAATTTGCTGAAAGTATTTATCAAGCTTCTGTGTTTTCTGGTGGAGAAATAATCTCAGTTTCCTGCTGAGTTGTATGTCCATGTTGGTGACCCTGTCATCCACACGTCTGACTTTCTCAGCCATCTTGCTGACTACTTCTGTGAGCTGACTCATACCTGAGGGTCCCTAATAGAATGCATCTGCCCCTTTGCGTTCTTCTTCAGTTCTTCGATTGTTGTTACCAGAAAATGTTATACTCTTCTGGTATTCTACACATCTGAGTATCTTTGATTTCTGTCTAAAGAGCTATAATCTGTTGCCTTGCCTTTCCAAGTTTCATGTAGCAACAACACATGAGATTTCTCTTCATCACTACCTGACCTGTCCATAGAAGAGTCACTGCTTCACCTACATCCTCCACTAGGTTTGAGCTGGTGAGGACTGTGGTTTGTGCCCTTTGGATGTGGCCTCTGCTTCCCCTCCCTCTACTTCTCTCTGCTCTTCGTTTTCCCTCCTTTCACTTGGCGATCTGTGACATCTTCCCTCTGTTTGAGATACAGACTTTTTCATATTCCTTTGAGAACTGAGTCTAGAAAGTGTGATGGCCCCAGTTGGGGAGCAGCATTTCACAGGGAAAGAACTGCACAGGTGAAGGCCCAATGAAGGGAAGAAATATCATTTATTTTCTATCTGCCTTACACTATCATGTTAGGAGATTTTTAATTATGTTGAATATGTGTCATTTTATGAGTTATTGAGTTACTGTTTTTGGTTTTGTACAGGATGAACTGGTATCACTTATAGCTCCTCTGGAGGAAAACAAGCCACAGATAAAAGAATTTTCAGTAACTGAAGCTGTCAAGCTAGAGAGGTACCCCCACTTCTTTTCTCTGAGTAACAGCCTTACTGTGCTCTGGGGTGGTTGCAGTCAGTGCTGAGATCTGAAAAACTAAATAGATAGAAACAAATTTCATTTTTAGTTTATGAGACATAGTTATCAAAACAAAGTGTCTTAGTGCTAGGGTTTCTATTTCTGTAAAGAGACAACATGACCACTGTAATTCTTTTTTTAAAATATTTATTATGTTTATTTATTTATTTATTTATTTATTTATTTATTTATTTATTTATTATGTATACAATATTCTGTCTGTATGTACACCTGCAGGCCAGAAGAGGGCACCAGACCTCATTACAGATGGTTGTGAGCCACCATGTGGTTGCTGGGAATTGAACTCAGGACCTTTGGAAGAGCAGGCAATGCTCTTAACCTCTGAGCCATCTCTCCAGCCCCACTGTAATTCTTATAAAGGACAACATTTCACTGGAGTGGCTTGCTTCCAGTCCAGTGATTCAATCCATCATGGTGAGACATGGCAGCATGCAGGCAGACATGGTGCTAGAGAAGGAACTGAGAGTTCTATATCTTTGATCCACAGGCAACAGGAAGTGAACTGAGACACTGGATGTAACTTGAGCATATCTGAGACCTCTAAGCCCACCTCCATAGTGACACCCTTCCTCCAACAAAGCCACACCTCCTAATAGTACCACTTTCTATGAGCTTATGGGGGCCAACTACATTCAAACTATCATTCAAAGCATAACTAATTTATAAACAAACTATTCAGCACAGACAGGCACAAAGAAGAAGTATTGAAAATAATTGATACTCCTTGTTAATGATGTATGGTGCTCATTATTCACAGCATGGTCTTATGTTACATGATGCTAAAGGATTCCACATTAGTCTTACTAATTTTGTAAATACAGACTTGTGCATATTCTATTCAATATTGAGCATAAATATCTTATTCTTTTTCATCATTGCTTCTAATGTGCATGTCTTATGAAAGTACATTGTTAAACACAACAGGACTTGAACTGCTTCCTTGTTTGGATGACCATGCTTCAGAGTGCTGTCTCTGAGGGATGTTCACCTGATGGTATTTCTGAGTGACATTTGATTGTGACTACTAGAATCAATTTAGGTCTTTTTACATTTTTTTTAAAAATAATGTCTTAGACTTTATGTGTAGTGAGCACAGGAAGTTGCGGTAAACTGTCTTTATTTGCATTAACCATTCATCAGTGAACATAGGTAGTAGGTGGATGATAACAAGAACACAGTAGATTTTAGATTCACACAAGAGTCTATTTAATTCCTAGGTTTTACACTTGGTAGGTGTGTGACCTTGAGACATTGGTTAGTGGCTGTATCACTTGGTCTTATTCTTGCCTTTATCCATTTGTTTAATTGCAAATGCCACAAAACTTTAAGAGTTTATAAATTTGAAATATAGGTGACAACTTCTCCTTATTTAATGAACATTCTTTAAAGAAATTAAAGTCTGTGCTACATATTTTCAGATCTCTACTAAAATAGTAATTATTGCTTATCATTTTTCTTATTTATAGAAAAAGACAAGATGTTTTAGAATATGAAGAAAAGAGACTTGAAAGTTGCCAAGAAAGCATTCTAGGTAAGACCTGGAATAGAAGTTATTCTAGATAATCTTTTTTGGAATAAAAAAAAGTAAGAAGTAAATAAAATAATGATAGTGGCATTTACAAAGTAAACCTGTAAAATGATTTTTGTAATTTTTTTGGTTTTTTTGGCAGGGTTTCTCTGATTTTTGTATTTTTAAATTGCTTATTTGTCTAGAATCACAACTGTTTAATGAGTTAATCATTAAATATATTTTTGTTTCTAAAACAGTGTAACTTGAAAACATTGTTTTCCTTTTGTGGTCCTGGGTTGAAGCTAGGGTTCCCCACTTCTGAATAAGTGCTGTCCCATTGAAGTGTGCCTGCCTTCTATAGTTTATTTTATTATTATTTATAGATGTAAACTTTGATGGAGTGCATTTCATATGTGCCAAGAACTTGATTTCTTTGGAGATATGCAATAGAATGAGAATGGCTGAGAGGAATGTCTTTATGCTGTGATATCCAGGAGAAACGTGGTCCTCCTGCTCAATTACATCCAGTCACACATTTGTAAAAGTTGGAGGATATATTCTTAGAAAGTCATACTTTATCAAATGGCTATCATAGTGACTTTTATGTCTATCTTTCCTTTGGAAATAAGGCTAGGGTCTGTTCTATTTTGCTTTTCTGGAACTCAAGCAGAACACTGCTTACTGGCTTACTCCCTGGCTCGTGCTCAGCTAGGATTCTTATACAACTCAGGTCCACCTGCCTAGGGATGGTGCCACCCACAGTAGGCTGGGCTCTCCCACATCAGTCATCAAACAAGACAATCTCTCACAGACATGGCCGCAGGTAGGCAATTCCCCAATTGAGATTCCTTTAGAAGACTCCAGGTTGTGTCAGGTTGACAGCTGACACTCACTAGGACAAATCTGAACAAGAGACACTCTGTTCATGTGCAAAACGCAAGGGATGAACGTGAGCATAGTCTGTAAGTTTATAATGTAGTGAAGTTCCTTTAGGAAATCATTACATTTTAACAACTTTGTTTTATTTCCTAGTGATGGGGCTTGAACTTAACACCTGTCTTAGTTACATTCTTACTGATGTTAAGAGACACTGTGACCATGGCAATTTATAGAAGAAAGAGTTTATTTGGGACTTACAGTTTCAGAAGTTTCGAGTCTATGACCATCATGACAGAGGACATGGGAGTAGCCAGGGAGGCGTGGTACTGGACCAGCAGCTGAGAGCTTTCATCTTGATTCACAAACATGGGACAGAGAGAACTAACTAGGAATGCCATGGACCTTTGAAACCTCAAAGTCAATCCCTACTGACACACTTCCTCTAACAAGGACACACTCCTTCATCCTTCCCAAACAGTACCACCACCTGGGGACCAAGTGTTCAAACTTCGTTCATTCTCAATGGGGGCCATTCTCATTCAGACCATCACAGCTAACAACATGCTAAGGAAGTCATACTTCACACACACACACACCACACCACACACAGAAAGACACATACACACACTGCACTCTGCAGTATATATTACCTTACTTTTCCATGAGTGTAATATATTATATGTCCTGGGGAAAAGCTGAGAGAGTTCCACTACTTATTTTTCATGATGGTGTAAAGAAAGTTTTCTTTATATACAGAGAGCCCTGTGTTGAACCATTCTGAAGCCTGAATGAGATTATTTTATTTCTATATTTTTCATATCAGATAACAACTTTCTTAAGCCTATCTCTGGCTGTCAGTATGGTAAGAAGTGGATTGCTCGTCAAGGAATGTTCTTCCCACGAGATAGTTCATGGCAGACAACCGAGCCATTTCCACCGCACACACAGGAGAGTGCACAGCTAGAACTGAGAGTTGTTAGCATTCCCAAACAAGAGCAGCGTCTTGATGCCTCTCCATCTTTCCTTCTGCTGGAGTCTGGAGACCAAAAAGGATCCTTGCTCCTCCTCTGCCAGTTACATTTTGCAAAGCTACAGGACCACGGCCATTTACAAGTGTTGCTTATGGCAGGGCTTCTTATTGGAAGCTGAGGTTTCCCCGGAAGCCCTGCAGTAGCTGTGTTGTGTGATACCAAAACAAGTTTACAAAGAGGAAAGGTGACTCAGTTGTGATTCTGGCTGCTCTTCCAGAGGACCCAGGTTCAAGTCCCATCACCCATATGCTGGTTTAAAAACATCTGTAATTCAAGTTTCAGGGAATCCACTGCCCTCTTCGGGCCTCTGCAAGCCCTAGACATACAGGAGGTGCACAGATTTGCATGTGGGCAAAACGTCCACACAGGTAAAATAAAAATAAAAAAGTATTTAAAAATAAAAAAGCACCCACCCTTAGCACTGATCCTAGTGCCATTAGTCCAGGGCAGTCACATTACTTGCTTGGCACTGTCAGCCTCTCACGCTGATTCTTCTGCTAATATCATGTCTGTCGGTCTGGTGGTGTGCTCTTCCAGTCATGGTCTCTGGGCACTGACAAGGTTCTTCCTCTTTTGCTTTGAAGTCCACAGACTGGTGGATTGCCTGTCACTAGAATTCTCTTGATGTATGGCTCCAAATTTATCATACTCCCAAACAGTCATCCGATATACACTTTTAATACATTATACTCATCTCTTTTCTATTATTTTATATTGCTGACTAACAATATATTTTTCCTTTACCTTCAGAATCAGCTGAAAGTACTGAATCCTACTCGATCCTAAGGTAGGGTTTTAAAGATCTATTGGAGCTCAGAAAAAGAGACTGGTGCTTGTTAGTGCTCCCCAGCTCCTGCCACGTGACCTGCCTGACTCTATTTCAGCCATCACAGCTCCTTTGCAGAGTATGCACGCTGTCTGTCATAACCCATTTTCCCCAGTAGGTGGCTTCTGTAACTACCAGGAAGCTGACCCATGTGATTGGCCTGTGCACCTTCTGGGTGTTTCCTACTCTTCCTCATAATCAATAGACCCAAGAAACTGCTTCATATAACATCAACTCACGCACAGAGTGTTCCCAACAAGCTTGGTGGTACTCTAATCACAGTCTTATTAATTTTACAGCTGCAGTCATAACCAATGCCTGTTTTCACCACTGAAGGATTGAGGGCAGATCTCAAACCTGTGGCCATAGTACCATTAATTTTATACATAACAAAATCATGCAGCTTCTGGAGAGAAATTATTTTTCTGGAAGTAAATCATTTCTCCATGTAGAGAATGTTCAGCTATCAGTGTGTAAAGCTGTCCAGAAGCTATTTGAATTACTCTTTTTTTTTTTTTAACAGCATTTCTCTGTGTAGCCCTGGGTGTCCTGGAACTCATTTTGTAGACTGGGCTGGCCTCATACTCAGAGATCTGCCTGCCTCTGCCTCCCACACGCTGGGATTAAAGGTGTGCATGTGCCACCACCACCCTCAGTTTTTATTTTCCTGACTCCCTATTTGTATCTTCCCGGAGCTACTACTGTTGCCCACTTCCTAAATTTTATCTACTCTGTTCTCATCAACGGTGAACGCACTTGTTGCTCTTGTTTTCCTGCTTTACTTTGTCTTCATTTCCTACAGCTGTGGTTTCCTTTGCTTGTGCTGACCCTATGGAAAGTCCATGTGGTGTCACAGTAAGTGGCGGCAATGCAATCTGACCTCATGTCCTTAGGGTTAAGAACAGTAGCCTTTATTTATCACTCTGGAGGTCAGGGCTTTAAAGATGAAGTGTGTGTGGGAGAATATTGAAGGCCACTGAAGATGAGAGTGTAATTAGAAGGCAGATTCACGGCCATTTCTAAGGACAGAGACGCCAAGCAGGGAAGATCAGATTGCTTTTAGTAACGCTGATGAGTTTAGAATATTTGGGGTCTATATCATCATATTCATGATGAATCAAGAATTTGGAACATATTTATTAAATTTGATATAGTCTCCTGCACTCAGTAACTCTTCTCAAACTCCTAAATATGACCTTTTTATCTCTTACATTTCATAACCAACCACATTTTATTTTAATCAAATAATACAATTATTAGTATAGCATTCCCTGGTTCCTATGAAAAACTACTGAATGGATTTTTTTTTTTGATTTTTCGAGACAGGGTTTCTCCGTAGCTTTTTGGTTCCTGTCCTGGAACTAGCTCTTGTAGACCAGGCTGGCCTCGAACTCACAGAGATCCACCTGCCTCTGCCTCCCGAGTGCTGGGATTAAAGGCGTGCGCCACCACTGCCCAGCTTGAATGGATAGTTTTTAACCTGTTCATTCATTAAAGAGAAATGCTTTTATATGTGTTTACCTAAAAACGGATTAGAAGACTGTCATTGATAAACATCCAAATCACATAGGTTCTTCATGAGACCAGTACAAAAACATTGCTAGCTTCTCTCTGAGAAAAGCAGGGTGGCTGTAGCGTAGAATGAGTTGTTGAACCTCAGCATAGAGAAGTAGGTTTTCTACACAACACAGTTTCGTGTGCCTGACACTATCACAGGTGGGGTGAGCCAGTTCTAAAGAACCAGAATTCATTCTTTACTTCATATTTTCCTTCCGAAGGCTCCCCACCAAACGAGACCCCAGTGACCCTACGACCACAGCAGGAAAGAAAGGGTGTGGTTTTCAAACAAAGGTAAGATCCTTTGAGGTTAATCTTTTTGTTCTGAGTGTGGATTGTTTTAGCATTTATTCTTAAATTCAATAATAATCTACTTATTATCCTTTTATACTGAAAGTTGGTTGGAGAAAACAGCCTCCGTAATGAGAATGAGTCAGTTGGTTTGTCCTTGGAACCCTCACAAAGGGAGAGAAGTTCTCTGTGACAGCTGGGGTTAAAGTGGTAGGAAAAACAGGGGTGGGAATCTTAAATTAGTTAAACGTCCCCCCCGCAATAAAATAATTAAAATTGGGGGGATTCATGGGACAAATATACCTTTGGGCCATTTCCTAAATGACACCAATACAACTTTTATTATCCTCATGCTTACAAAAATTGTAGTCACAGAGCTGGGGAGTTGGTTCAGTGGTTCGGAACACTTTCTGATTTTATAAAAGACTGGGATTTGGTTCCCACCACCACACGGTGGCTCACGACCATACGTAACTCAGTTCCGGGATTCAGATGCTCGCTCCTTCCTTCCTTCCTTCCTTCCTTCCTTCCTTCCTTCCTTCCTTCCTTCCTTCCTTCCTTCCTTCCTTCTTTCCTTCCTTCCTCCCTCCCTCCTTTCTCCCTCCCTCCCTCCTTCCCTTCCATTCCTCTTCCTCTTCTTCCTCTTCCTCCTCCTCCTCCTCCTAGTTCTTCTTCTTCTTCTTCTTCTTCTTCTTCTTCTTCTTCTTCTTCTTCTTCTTCTT